ACTGATTCAGAGAACAGGTGCTGGGGAGAATAGGCTGGATGCAGGGCCTCAGGGGCACACTCCTAAGGGTACAAACTACCCGACAGAGCTGGCAAGGGATGAGCAGGAGTCGGGGAGGCTGCTGAGGTCCAGCTAACGTCAAGCCTGAACTCAGTGGCAGAAAAGCCTCTACCTTAGCCAGGGACTTTTGACCTCTTCAGATCCCAGGCAAGAGGAGAGGGTAAAGAACAAAGATTAACTACACACAAAAAAACCTCCCAGCTGGACACAAAGGCTCATGCCTGTAATCCCAACACTTTGGGAGGCCAAGGAGGGTGAACTGCTTGAGCCTAGGTGTTCCAGACCAGTCTGCAACATGGCGAAACCCTGTCTCTACAAGAAATACAAAAAATTAGCCAGACGTGGTGGTGCACACCTGTAGTCTCAGCTACTCAGGAAGCTGAGGTGAGAGGTCTACAGGAGTAACATCCTGTATTCAAAAAATAAAAAAGGCTTTTCTTTGCCACCTTCCCCTTGCTACTCCAGCCCTCAAGGATCCCACCTGCAGACTTGCAGGTAATGACCTGGCATTTAGCACTTTCCTCTGCTAGACTTCAAGGGGCTAAAGGGCCGAGGACTTGTTACCCCAGAGATACCTCTCCAGGGCAGGGGCATCCACAGAGCCCTCTGCTCCAGAACATAACACATCCTCAGGTGGTACACATTGTTAAAGAGGAGGCAAGAATTTTCCTGCCCAAGACGGACATATACAGAATCTAAAGATTTGTATATTTCCTTCAGATCTTCACTCAAATATTATGTTGTCAGCAAGGCCTTCCCTGGCCTCCCATCTAAGGCACCTTGCCACCCCACCCTGCCACAAACACACACGGGGCCTGTCTCCCTCTCGACCTTAGTTTTTCTCCTTAGCACTAGTCGCTAGCATACCACATATTTAATTTACGTCCCGTTAATAGTCTCCCACACTAGAAGGAAACTCAACTAAGCCTGGAATTTTTGTCTCTTTTATTCACAGTGTATCTCCAGCTCTTAGAATCGTGCCTGGAGCAGAGTAGGAGCTCAAAATATATTTTTGGAGTGAATGAATGATTACCCACACTTATTTAAGCACTTGCTGTGTGCTAGCGACTTCTGTAAACACTCTATTTAATACCTTGCTTAGCTCATCTCATCTTCATAACCACTCTTCGAGGTAATACGATTATTTCTATTTTCTAGAACACTGGCTCTCAGAGAAGTCAAATCACTTGCCCAAGGTCTTATAATTTGTACTTGGCAGGGCAGGGCAGAGATGTGTCTGGCTTGCAGGCCTTAGCCATTACCTACACAAAATGAGCTGTGTTCAGGTGGAGAAGAGCAGCAGGTAGAGGGGGATAAAGGAAAAAGAGAGCAGAAAACCACTGAAAGAAACTGACTAACACTCTAGCCCAGCACTGGCCGCTAGGAGTTTCTGCAATGATGGAAGAGATCGGTATCTGCACTGTTCAGTACAGTAGCCACTAGCAACAGGTGACTGTTGAGCACTTTAAATGTGACTAGTGCAACTAAGAAACTAAGTTTTTTATTTGATTTCATTTAAATTAATTTACTTTTTTTTGGAGACAGGGTCTCCTGTCGCCCAGACTGGCATTCGGTAGTGCAAACATGGCTCCATGCAGACTGGACTCCAGTGATTCTCCCACCTCAGCCTTCAGAGTAGCAGGGACTACAGGCTCCTGTCACTGTGCCCAGCTAATTTTTTAAAATCTTTTTGTAGAGACAGCATCTCACCCTGTTGCCCAGGTCGGTCTCCAACTCCTGAGCTCAAGAGATCCTCCTGCCTCAGCCTCCCAAAGTGCTGGGATTACAGGCGTGAGTCACTGCACTGGCATAATTTAAATTTAAATAGGTACACGTGGCTAGTGGCTACCGTATTACAGAGCACAGCTTCAATCCAGACTAGATTCAGTGACTGGAAACGAGGTTGCTTGCTGGGTCTGTGGCTTCCAGGCCTGATGGGACGGGGATTCAGGAGAGGGGGGAAGGGAGTGTATATTTTCAGCAGTGAGCGCCTAGGTTACTTTGTGTAATCTATGAATACCCAGGGAGGGGAGTATTTGTTTACCCCGGCTGCTAAGGGCTGGAGATGAGGCTCACGGTCAGGATCAGTGTGTCTGCTGCCTTGGGATCTTGGTCCTCAGTCAAAGGAACTTCCTCTCTCTAACCACCCCCCACCCCAAGCCAGACAATCTGTTCACGGGTAGTTGGTACCGAGTGGCCCGGTCAGAGTCTGGGGCTTCTCAGTCCTTCTCAGGATTTACCCATGACCATTTTCAGGCTCCTTTTAGGGTGGAGTCTGCAGAGCTGATCCTACACAGGCCTCACAGGCTTTACACGGACTCAAGAAATGTTTGCTGCAATGAATAAACAAGCAGCAAGCCAAAGCAAGGAGAGATTTCTGGCAACAGAGAGCCCGAGGGGGGAGGGCCTTCATTCAGCTCCTCAACGACACCATTTAGGAAGCCGTCCTCAAAACTGACAGTCCCTAAGAATCACGAGGGGCAGTTTGTTTAAAATGACATGCCCCAGGCCTCACTCCCAGGTGTTCTTATTTAATAAATCTGGGTTAGGGTTCAAAAATCATCATGTTTACCAAGCCCTCCCACCCAACACACACACTAAATCTGGTGCTAGGCTCAGAACTAAGCTTTTGAGAAATACTGATTTAGGGTGAGGCTAGGCATGTATGTGGGTATTGGGGGCAGGAAGAGGTTGCCCTAGAAGGAAATTCAGAAGCTGAGCTAAGTCTTTGAGATACTTAAAGGTATACATACCTCTTTTGTGTATTTTCTTGCATTGCAGTAGCAAGAGGGAACTTGAGTCACCCAAGTCCAGCCTTCCAGCACCAGAGTGTTGGGACTGGCAGAAGCCTAAGTCCCAGCTAGTCCAGGCCCTTAGACAACGAGTACACCTGAGAAGTCCTGGCAGCTACAGGGTGTGTGGGCGGTAGCTGATCCCCAGGAAAACAAATCTCTGGGCTGTAAGAGCTCCGCAGGTGCGGATTTCCCCTCTCAGCCAACTCCAGCCTCTGCTCCCCCTCTGCTCCTCACTTCTCTAAAGCGAAACATCTCACAGTCATTTGCTCCATGCTTCCTGTACGATTTCTTTATTTTTACTCTCCAGTTTGTGGGCTGAGTCTGTGTGGGTGTGGGAGAGGAGCTGGGTATTTCTACTTTTCTGCGTTTTCCTTCTGAGCTGGGAGGACTTTCACTTCCTCCCCAATCTCTCAGTTCTGCCTTTCATGGGTTGTCCAGGTCATGAGACCTCCTCTCCTATCCTTCCTGAGCACCAGGGAAACAGAAAACTGACTGCAACTGGCTGCCCTGGAAGGGCCTAGCATCCACTCAGGAGCAACAGGTGGTGGCAACTACAGCAGTAACAATAACCTCCCTGGGCCAGGAGCCCTGGGCTGGCGTGACAGCAACGGAGGCAGCCAAGGGAGCCCTGCTTGCTCCTGAGGCCATCCAAGGCCTGAAACCTGTCTTGCATCCCTCTAACACCACCATGGGCAAGCCTGGGCCTCCACTTCCCTCCCTCAGCCTTTTCTGCCCCAGCACTCAGCCAGACAAAAGTGACTCTCAGCTTGCCCCAGTGCCCCCAGCTCTGCCTGCTGATCTAGTTCTATATTTGAGAGTCTTAGACATCTACCACACTGGGGCACAGAGCCACGGGAGGGGTCGGCCTCCACCACCGGGGCCTGACAACCTGCCTTCCCAACCTCCCTGAACCTCAGTCTCCTCTTTCAAACAGTTATATGTAGATACAGAGGAGAATTAGAAAACATTGAATGGGTGCCTCAATCAACAGTGGCTGTTAGTGGCAGGAGTTATAAATGTGTATTGAAAAAGGAATTCCTTCCTTTTTTCTTTCAATCATAAGGACCACAACCATCCAAATAGCAAAGAGAGCCTCAGACACTCCAGCTCAGCCCCTAGCTGCAGAAAGTCACCTTCCCAAAGGGAGAGATCAGTGTTCACCTAGGACTGGAATGCAGTGTGATCTAGTGGTTGAAAGTCTTAGCCTTCAGCCTCCCCAGCCTCGTCAGCTGTTCCAGAAGCCTGTCAGCTGCCCCTTAGTTTTCTGCTGTGTCCTCAAAGAAGCACTTGGACCCTAAAATAAACCTCTGGAGAGCCAGTTGCCCAGCTCTTCCAGAAGAGACTAGACACACAGCTGGGCATGCGGCCAGAGTCCAGGAAAAGCCTGGATTGCCAGGGGCAGATTACTGTCAACAGGAGCAACAAGTGTCTCTGCCCTCTCCCTCACAGCTCCTTCTCTTGTCCGGAGGGGAGTCCAGCACGTGCCAGCCCCAGGAGGTCTCATTCCCTTGCCAGCCTCGCGACTCAATTCCCAGGACTGGGGCACTTGGCTTCCCAGAGTTGGTGGCTGCCGAACTGACTCCGTGCAGCGGGAAGATCCGTGACTCAGCGCCCATGATGTCAGTCCCTTCATAGTCAGGGCACTGTCATCCACACATGCACCCGCGGGGGTCAGGGGAGGACAAGGCGAGGTGGACCCCCAATGCAGAGGGAGAAGAGGCGCCCTGCTGGTACAAAGGACTTCCCAGGCGGGTTCATCACCCCGCTGGGACGCGCCCTCTCCGGGCCGTCTCCCCTTAGAGTAACCCGGCTCGCGGTTGTGTAAAGGCTCATGGGGGCACTGGGAAGGAGAGTCAGGTTTGCGAGGACACAGTCCTATACACTGACCTCAGGCAGCTTCCCGCACAGCTTCACAGGGCATTCTGGGGAGAGCTCCGGGCCAAGGGAGCAAGCGCAGCAGGGGGCGCAAGAGCCACTGCCCGCGACCACACAGCTAGGTGCCCGCCGGGCCTCAAGGCAGCCACAGAAAAGAGGAGCCGTCGCACCTCCTTTCCTCCCTCCAACCTCCCCCAGACTGCGGTGGCCACGGCGGTTTCCCCCAGCCGCCAGCTGCCCCAGCCCTCCAGGTGCGCCCGAAGCCCTTACCCTGCGCAGGGCAGCCCCCTGGAGCCAGCGCCGCCCCCGGCGCGGCCAGCAGGGCAGCCAGCAGCGCGCAGCCGACGGCCAGCATGCTTCCTCCTCGGCTACCGCTCCATGGTCCCGCAGAGGCGGACAGGCTGGTGGGAACCGGGCGGCAGGGGCGGGGCGGTGGGCGGGCAGGCTGGCTCAGTCTCCGGGGGCAGCCCCCATTCGCAGGAGCCCGGCGCTCTACATACACTGCGAGTCCCTCAGCCCCGCGCCGCGCTCGGCTCCGCTCCCTCTGGCCGGTCTCAGTGTCAGTGCGACTTCCCACTCGCACATGACTCAGAGCGGCGGACGGTCCTGGCAACACAGGAAAACATTTGAGGAACTCGCGCTGGAGCGTCTCTGGGCCGTCCCAGGGTGCGGTTACGAAAGCTGGAGCGGATGGCGCAACAGCCCCGCGCACCGGCCGACCGAGGGGGTGGCTTCCTGCCACAGCGCCGCACCTGAGCGGGGAGAACAGAGGACCGCCAGCCCCGTCAGAGCCCTTCCTCCCGGTTCTGTTGATGAGAAAAGGGCACTTGTTTTGATTTTTGGTTTCGTGAACAGGATTACGCTGTGAAAGGCACACCTGGAGAGCCCTCGAGGAGGAGATGTACCCTTATGATAAAGCAGTGCTTGGTAGCCTGGTTGCCCACTGGAATCAGCCGGAAGCCCTAAAACCCACCAATGTCTGGGTCGGGGCTCCAGAGATTCTGATTTCATCGGTCTGGGGTGAGGCTTGGGCATCGGAAGACTCACCACCGTAAAGGCACAGTCTCTCTGCCCAGCTGCTCCTCGCAGGCTGGAGCAGAGGCAACGAAACGGTTTGGACTTTGCAGTCAGATAGACCTGGGTCCCCATTTAGACCCACCATCTACTGTGTCTGTGACTTCGGTTCAGAATCTGAGTCTCCATTTCCTCATCTGTTAGAGATAAGAAAGCCTATGCTGCCCAGGGTTATTAGGAAGGTTCTGTGGATGGCACCTAAACACCCGACACACGGTCTGGGCCACAGGTGCTCCATAGACATCAGAACGTGCATGGCTGCCCTCCTGACTTGACAGACAGAAACTAACACCAGGGGCAGTGGCTCACGCCTGTAACCCCAACACTTTGGGAGACCCAGGTGGGTGGATTGCTTTGGTCCAGGAATTCCAGACCAGCCTGGGTAACAAAGTGAGACCCCCCATTTCTATAAAAAATTTAAAAATTAGCTGGGTGTGGTGGTGCACGCCTGTAGTCCCATCTACTAGGGAAGTTGAGGTGGGAGAATTGCTTGAGTCCCAGAGACCCAGGCTACAGTGAGCTGTGATTGGGGGCCGCTACTCCAGCCTGGATGACAGTGAGACCCTGTCTGAGAAAAAAAAAAAAAAAGAAAAAGAAAACAAAAAGAAGGAAGGAAGGCAGGAGGGAGGGGAAGGAAGGAAAGGAAGGAAAGAAAAAAAGAAAGAAACTAGCGCTTGGCTTTTGAGCAACCACAAGGACCCTGAAGGGAACCATCTGTCCGTCCCTTGGAGTCCCGGGAACTCTCTCAAGGATCCCACAGAGCCTAAAGCTGATAGGATGGCCTCATGGCTGAATTCAGAGGGAAAGAAAAATGCTGAAATAAAGTTTAGGCTGAGAAGCTTCTAGACCAGCAACTGCTCATTAGAATGTGTTTTTCTGCTTTGGGTTTCAGGCCCATCCTAACCCAGATCAAAGATCCTGGGACAGCTGGAAGAGGCATGGCCTAATGGAACTCCTAAGTGGACAGGGCCAGGCATGGAGGGACAGAGCTTCTGAAACAGTCCTCAGAGCCCGTACATCTGGGTCTTTCTGTAGGAACCGCCCCATCAGCAGTGCCAGGCCGAACCAAGCACACGCACTGATCCACCGCACGGTGGGGGCTGCTGTGGGTGGGTTTGTTTGCTTCAGCCATGTCCGCAGACAGGAACAGAAGAGCACCCTGGAGGCCACCAGCCCTCTCGCCTGCTAGTTCAAAAGAGGTTGCAGCAGGGCTGGAAAGCGGTTCCCACTGTGGTTGCCCCCTTCCTCTCTGTGGCACACACAGACCTGAAAATAACCAGAGAGGGACTGCAAGCTGCCAGCCTAAAACAGGAAGGCTGCAGAAAGTCCTAGGCTCAGATAGGAGAGTTTAAAAGAATGTTGAAACCAAGAATAGGCATCACAGATCCCACCTGTCTCTGCACCAAAGCAGACCTCCCCCTCTCTAATCTGATGGGGAGCCTGTGTGCTCTGTAGTCACGCAAATCGAGTTCCCATCCCGGCTTTACCATTTGCTGGCTATATGACTTAAGCAAGTTACTTAACCTCTCTGAGCCCCTATTCCCTGATTTGTAAGATAAGAGCAGCAACATACAAATTTTTAGTGTTGTGGTTCACATGAAAAAATGTAGTCCTGGCCAGGCCAGGTGCAGTGCTTCACATCTATAATCCCAGCACTTTAGTCGAGACCAGCCTGACCCACATGGTAAAACCCCATCTCTACTAAAAATACAAAAATTAGCCGGGCATGGTGGCACACACCTGTTGTCCCAGCTACTCAGGAAGCTGAGGCAGGAGAATCACTTGAACCCAGGAGGCAGACGTTGCGGTGAGCCGAGATGGCACCACTGCACTCCAGCCTGGGCAACAAGAACGCAACTCCATCTCAAAAAAAAAAGAAAAGAAAAGAAAAAAAGAAAGAGAAGAAAACATACCTGCACAATTCAGCCTGACTTGCCCTCACCTAGACAACAGAAGGAACAATGAAGACTTTAGTTGTCTGAGCCAGAATACCTCTCGGATAACTGCTGCTTACAAATTGCTTCATATACACAATCTCCTCTGAAATTCTAAACCCTGAGTGCTGGGAGGTATTGCCCCTAATTTTCAGATGAGTAGACTGAGGCTAAGAGAGGTAAAGTGGCTTGTTCAAAACCGCACTACTAGTAACTGGCAGCTCTAGGGTGAGGTCTGGCTCCTGGCCCAGGACTCTCACTGAGCAAGGGCTCGGTGGGCCCACCCAGGACCAAAGACACTGCAGACCATGGCAGCAGGCACTTGGTGTTCTGTAGTCTGTGAGGGGAGAGCAGAGAGCAGAACTTGGTGTGTAAGACACCCTGTCCATCACAGGTGTTCCTGCAGGGACCCTCCCTCTCCCCTAAAGGGGGAAGCCCGAGGTTGACTCCCAGCAAGCAAGTCCTCTCTTACCTTCCACCTGAAGTGACGAAGCATCTTAAAGTTTGCCAAAAGCAGAAGTCTATAGGAGACTCCACAGAATAAATACGTAAGGTTTTTTGGAAACCAAAAGGGACGTGGTCATCATCTGCTCCTCCTCCTTCACTGTTCAGAGAAGGAAACGAGGCCTCAAGAAGAGAAGTTGTTTGGTAAAGAGGGCACAGGCAGTTGGTGACAGAGCTGGTCAAGATCCCAGATACCCTGACTCAGAGTGGTCTTTTTAAATTCCCACCCTGCCCCCAACCTCCAGGTCTGGGTTGATGTGTTGGGGCCATTCTCAATTGTGAGAGTTTAAAACTATGCACTTTATTCTCTATTCACCATGTGAATCCATCTTTAGGGACAACGATTATTCTGAGAAGTGCAGTGGGGTAGGACTGGACTGACCTGCAGATCCCTCCCTGGCCTCTGGCCCTAGAGCCAGCCCCTGGTTAATCAATAATTACAGGAAGGTGCTCCTTATTCTCTGAAACCTTCCCCTCCTGCTTTCTTATCAGCCTGGGAGGAGGTTACGTGGGCAGACAGAGGTCTAATAACAGAACTCAGTGTCTGGCCAGTGGCATCCCTCAGAGTCAGGCTCCAGCCAGGGCCCGTTGAGGGCCTCAGCCTGCCCGTGGAGACCCTCACTTTCACAGTGGAGGAATGCAGCATCCCCGGCTCCGGCAGCATGACAGTGTGGCTCCCCGTTGCATCACCAGGTGAGTTTACACCCAGAAAAGGGATTTTTTTTAGTACCATTCTCAGAAAGGGGTCATAAAAGTTTATCCCCTTCTTGTAATATTTAGAGAATGTTATGATTTTATAACTGCTAAAAAGCATCACAGTTATAGCTGGGCATGCTGGCACATGCCTGTAGTCCCAGCTGCTTGGGAGATTGAGGCAGGAAGACTGCATGAGCCCAGGAGGTCAAGGCTGCAGTGACCTATGATTCCACTTTGGCACTCCAGCCTGGGCAACAGAGCAAGACCCTGTCTTTAACATAAAAATAAAAATAAGGCCAGGCACAATGGCTCACGCCTGTAATCCCAACACTTTGGGAGGCCAAGGCGGGCAGATCATCTGAGATCAGGAGTTCGAGGTCAGCCTGGCCAACATGGTGACACCCATCTTTACTAAAAATACAAAAATTAGCAGGGCTTGGTGGCACATTTCTGTAATCCCAGCTACTTGGGAGGCTGAGGCACAAGAATTGCTTGAACCAGGAGGCAGAGGTTACAGTGAGCTGAGATCGCACCACTGCACTCCAGCCTGGGCAACAGAGTGAGACTCTGTCTCAAAAAATAAATAAATAAATAAACAGCATTGCAATTAAAATTAAACATAGAATTGTCATATAATCTAGCAGTTTCACTTCTGGATATGTTCACAAAAAAAATTGAAAGCAGGGACTGGAACAGATATTTGTACACCCATATTTTTAGCAGCATTATTTACAATAGCCAAAAAGTAGAAACAATTCAAAAGTCCATCAAGAGATGAATGGATAAGCAAAATGTGGTATGTACATATAATTGAATATTACTCAGTCTTAAAAAGGAAGGAAATTCTGACATATGCTACAACATGATAAACCTTGAAGACATTATTCTAAGTGAAATAAACCAGCCACAAAAGGACAAATGTTATATGATTTCATTTATATGAGGTACCTAGAGTAAACAAATTAATAGAGATAGGAAGCAGAGTGGTAGCTGCCAGGGGTTAGTAGGAGGAGAGTGGGAAGTTATTGTTTAATGGGTACAGAGCTTCCGTTTTTGCAAGATGAAAAGAGTTCTGGAGATGGATAGTGGTTATAGTTTCACAATAATATGAATGTGCTTAAAGCCACTGAACCATTTAAAAATGGTTAAAATGCCCATGTGAGGGAGATTGCTTGAGGCCAGGAGTTCAAGGCTAGCCTGGTCAACTCCTGTAGAGATAGCAAGACCCTATCTCTACAAAAAATGTAAAAATTAGCCGGGCATGGTGATACACATCTGTAGTCCCAGCTACTCGGAAAGATAGCTTGAGGCAAGGAGTTCAAGGATGCAGCCAGATATGACAGCGCCACTGTACTCCAGCCTGGGAGACAGAAAAAGACCTTCCTTATCGTAAATAAATAAATAAGGTAAAACGGGAAATTTCATGTTTTGTATATTTTATCACATTTTTAATAAAGCATTGCAATTATAAAATTAAACAAGCTAGATGCTTGGAAATCCAGAAAACAGATTGCATTATTGAGTGGGGGGGGAAGGGAAGATAACTTATATTTTTAAAGGATATAGAATGAGATTCCTTTAAGATAGTGGACTTTTTTTGGTGACTA